CTAAAACATTTTTAATATTTCCACCCCTCCAAGGGATCGTACATTTCTTTGAACCAATACATTTCAACATTCTTGGATCTCTGTTATGTTTAATAAAATGTTTGGATACTGAATGATTCAGGTATCCATTTTTAATGTTTCTGCAATGTTCGCTTAAACGCGTTTTCTTTCACCTTGTAGTCATTCCAACATATTGGAGAACACAGGGGCATTCAAGCAGATATGACATTTTTAGTAGAACAATTGATGAAATCATGGATTTCAGAGCAGTTTTTCCGGAGTCTTAATATTTGGCTCTTCGGAGCACTGTCTAACCAAGGTGGGTAATGACAACTGCTCTTGTCTATAGCAGTGTTCACACATACTTTTTAAAAAAATGTTTTAGTGTGTAATTTCCCGTTTTTTATAAAAATATTAAGGTCTAAAAAGTTGATTTGTTCTCTACTGTATTCGTGAGTGAGGGTTATACCTCTATTATTTGTATTAAGATTGGTGATAAAAGAGCTTATATCATCTTCAGAACCTTCCCAAATAAAAAAAAGGTCATCAATATATCTAAAAAATGAAACCAGGTTTGCTCTCCAAGGAAACCTGGTTTCATTTTTTAGATATATTGATGACCTTTTTTTATTTGCTCTCCAAGCAAACCTGGTTTTATTTTTTAGATATATTGATGACCTTTTTTTTATTTGGGAAGGTTCTGAAGACGATCTAAACTCTTTTATCACCAAACTTAATACAAATAATAGAGGTATAACCCTCACTCACGAATACAGTAGGGAACAAATCAACTTTTTCGACCTTAATATTTTTATAAAAAACAGGAAATTACACACTAAAATATTTTTAAAAAAAGTATGTGTAAACACTGCTATAGACAAGAGCAGTTGTCATTACCAACCTTGGTTAGACAGTGCTCCAAAGAGCCAAATATTAAGACTCTGGAGAAACTGCTCTGAAATAAGTGATTTCAACATACAAGCTAATGTATTAAAAGATAAATTCATTGAGAAAAATTACTCAGATATGGAACTTGCAAATACCATTAGGGATATTCAAAATAAAGATAGAAACAAACTCCTAAAATATAAACCTAAAATTAAAGACAAATCTATGCCTTTACCGATTATCTTTAATTTTAAAAACGTAAAAAAGATTATAAAAAAACATTGCCATATCCTACAACAAGACGAAACTCTTAATAAAATTATACCAGAGCGTCCGAATATAATATTTAGAGGAGCCCAAAATTTTAAATCAATACTAACTAAAAATTTTACCAAAGAAGAGAAAAATATACCCCCTCTATCCTTTTTTCCACAAATTAAAGGTTTTTGCAAATGTAAAATGTGTATAGTTTGTAGAACCACTGACCCCGCTGTTCCCTATAAAGTTGCTAAATTTATGTCAAAACGGACAAACAAGGTCTATAAAATCCATGATTTCATCAATTGTTCTACTAAAAATGTCATATATCTGCTTGAATGCCTCTGTGGTCTCCAATATGTTGGAATGACTATAAAGTGTTTGAAAACGCGTTTAAGCGAACATTGCAGAAACATTAAAAATGGATACCTGAATCATTCAGTATCCAAACATTTTATTAAACATAACAGAGATCCAAGAATGTTGAAATGTATTGGTATAAAGAAATGTACGATCCCTTGGAGGGGTGGAAATATTAAAAATGTTTTAGGTAAAATAGAAATGGAATGGGTGTATAAACTTCAAACCCTTACACCCCACGGTCTTAATGTAGACTTTGATTTGTTTAATTTTTTATAAATTTATATCTATTTCTGATGTTTTTAATTTGTGGATGTTATACATCTTTCCCATATTCTTATTGTATTTTTAAAATATCTCTTTATTTGGTGTTTGTTATTTGGTGTTTTTTTACATTATTTTTATACTTTATCTTATTTTTTATTGTTTTATATGTATATCCCTTATTTTTCTTATGTGTACCCTAGCTGGCCGCAGCTCTGTGCGTGCCGATAGGGTTCCTTTCATTGCCCTGACGATGGCTGCAGCCTTGTGCTCGCGGTCGTCTTTGTTTACAACATTCTCTCCATGATGACAGCCGCAGCTTTGTGCGTGCCACCGTCATCACTAACTCCGCCCCTCCTATTGACGTCAGCCGCAATTACCATGCGAGCTGACGTCCTACTCCTATATTCTATATAGACGCTGGCGGCTGCACAGTGCGTGCCGGCGTCTAACTACACTTCCCATAACGCATTGCGGACCGTGCATATAAGTTTCAAAAATCGAGTAATATGTTTCGTTTTTTATATTTATTCATATAATAATGCTTATAATGTTTAGTAGAATGTATGTATAAATAAATTTCCCTTTTTTTATATTGTTTTAACAATTTTATTTTTATCTTCATTCTGATTGGCTGTTCACATTTTGGCGCCAATTTTAAAGGACTATAGCTGTTAGATAAACCATCTTATGCCAGGTATCAGGTTCTTACCCCATATTGATAACGCCGTGTTGGCGAAAACACGTTTATGGACATTATATTGTGTATTTTTATATATTAAAGTATATTTGGTTACTTTTTATCTGTGCCATCTATCTCTTTATACACACTTATTTGTTTTTTTACCTGGCATCTTCTCAACATCCTGGACTCCAAGAAATCCTAGGTGGGGATTATACCACCAGCGCAAACGTTAAGGAGCAATCGGCCTGCTCCTGTCTTGTGAGTACCCATTTTATTTATTTTATCATCAATATTTTACTCAGTGTACACTATTGGCTGTTTCTTTTTACCCGAGTGTTGAATATACCACTGACGGAGGAAGTTCATCTTACATCCCATAAGCGGGGATCAAACCGCCGTACGCCTTTCACACTAGAGTGAGTATAAGCTCTTATAAATGTGAGTTTTATTTCAGCCTTTTATTATTTTTATCTTTTTAAGCATACTACACTATTTGGCTCTCCACTTTCTTATCTTTTACATATGAGCGGACCCATACGGAGGAGAATAACAAGGACAATTGTTCTGGATCAAGCACGGATATATTCTGCGACCTCAATAAGAATATTTTAGATACGACTTTTCATTTCTTTTTATTCACTTATTTTATTTGGACTATTTGTTATATTTTTTATATCCAGTTTTCCTTGGCGCAGCCCTTACCTTTTATTTTTTCTCCTTTTCAGTGTTACTTCTAAGGGTTTTTGAGGGATTCCCTTATAGGGTTGCTGCCCACACATTAGTTAGCGCTTACTTTTTTTTTTTTTAATTCTTTATTTTTGTAGTGCATAAGCTTAGTACAATCGCTTGTGAAGTACCCCAAAGGCAATCTTCCTGCGCATTATAAAACATTTAAACATAGAGGTACAGGATTGATCTTGCACATTTTTATAAGGTTGAGTTATGCGGTATACGGTATTGATTGTCATTACTTAAGCATGTTCATAACATAAAATAAAATATCTTTGCTTAACTTTCTGCTCCTGGAATAAAATTAAGATGCTGTGTCTAGTGTAATGGTGACTATACCAGCAAACTAGTGTGGTTGATTCGGTTTTGTGAGTTGCTTAATAGAATCTTTTTTTTTTTATTAAACTGGATTAAGATGCCATGGAGCAAATGTTACCTTTCCGATGTAACAGATTATGTGAGGGCTAGATTACCCAATGCTGACTACGGTGTAAAGCAAAACATTGCCCTATTTTATGGTACATCAGAAAAAAAAAAAGGTAAATTGCATACATTTGCATACATTTGCCAGCTTTAGGCATAGTCATGTGGGGAGAACATGGATTCAAACTTAAAAGTATTGAGTAGATCATGTTATTGGTAAATGTAGGTCGCAGTATCCAGCGTTGTGGGTACAGGAGGTTAATTTACATGACTGACCTAGGTTAGTAACATGCACAATTCTGTGCTAGTGTACTGTTTTGTTTTTATATATATATATATCTGTTAGTATTAGAAATAAGTATGTTGTTTTTGTAATTTTTTTTTTAATATATATTCTTTATTTTTGCAGTGCACACAATAACAGTAGTGTCAGTGTCCAAGAGATTATAAGTAAAGAAATAATTTTGAAACAGTGGGTTACAAATACTTGGCATATGAGGAAGTCACACTTTTGTTTTCATTTATAGACATAATGGTCAGTAACATGTCAGTAGTGTGGTCGTGTGAATGTGCCAGTGAATATGGTGTACCGGGCATTAAGCTTGGGTTGCGTTGCTTGGTAGGACAGGAAGTTGGGAGGCCTCTGTTGCCTGAGTGTGTCAAGAGGTTTAATTTCGGTCATGCGGGTTGCACTTTGGGTGCCCCTTGAGGGGACCTCAATCGAGGATTCTTATGCATATAGTGGGTGTGAGCATGGAGTGGGGTCTGTGGCACTTGCTGTCATAGGCATAATATCAAGCTTATGAAAGTGTCAATGGGTGCACCGGGACCCAGTTAGTGTATAAATTACATATAGTATGCACATATAGTAAATGCCCCTAATCAAGGGGGGCAACGGAGGGGGAGGGAGGGGGGTTGAGTGAGTTAGTTGCGTGCCATCAACTAGGTTTGCTGTTGTAGCTGTATGAGTGTGTAAGCTAGGTTGACCCCAGACAGAGAAATAAGTATGTTTTAATGCTGTCTTTTTTAATTTGATTCGATAGGTGAGTTTAGATAACACAATGCAAGAAAATCCGGTCTACTGTAATTTGGAAGAAATTAAGAAATCGAAAGGGACTCCTCCTAATCCAACATGTAGCCCTGTTCAGATTCTGGAGAACTGGGAGTGCCACTTCGATCCAATAACGGGCAGAAACTTCTTCATTAACATGGAGACAAGGGAGAAAACATGGAAGCCACCCAGGAGATCTAAGGACAGAAACTCTGCAAAGGTATGTGTTAAATCAACTACTTTAATTTGAGCTGAGCGGTGATAATAGGCGATGGAGTTAGATTTGACCCATTTGAGGTAACCTGTCATACACAAAGTGTGTGAATATTCAGTTCACTTTCAGGTAGGTAACAATTCACTCATGATTATCTGAAAATAGCATTTTCCTTTTCCACCAAGGACTAGGGAAATTAATGAAAGCAACATCACAGAATTCTGAACTGGTGACCAAGAAACACATTTTGAGTTTGTGAAGAGAGGCAGTGGGCATTTGGAAGGCTGGTGAAAAGAGTTGAGCGGACACCTGGATGTTCGGGTTCTCCAAGTTCGGCCAAACTTCATCAAAAAGTTTGAGTTCGGCTCGAACTTGACCCCAAACCCAAACCCCATTGAAGTCAATGGGGACCCGAACTTTTGGGCACTAAAATGCCTTTAAAAAAGTCCTGTAAAGGGCTAGAGGGCTGCAAAAGGAAGTAAAATGGGTAGGACAAGTGCCCTGCAAACAAATGTGGATAGGGAAATCACTTAAAATAATATAAAATAACATAAAATAAGCAGCCGCTTAGTAGATAACTCCCTAATTCCCACGGTATTAGGCAGCTATCTACCAAAAGACTGAAAGACCTAAATTGGTCTTTCAGCCACATTTAGAAATACTAAGTAAAGATTACTTAGTATTAGTAAATTCAGCACCTACTCGCTATACCGTGAGTAGGGGCATGTCTAGTAAACAGTGAGCAGCCAGTGGCTGCTCACTGTAAAAAAAAAACAAAACAAACAAAAAAACCCTATTGGCCCCCACCCCTGAACAGCGGGTGGGGGCCCTAAAGTAAAATAACGGGGGGGGGACCTATTGTTCTCCCCCCCTGGCCCCCACCCCTGAGCGGTGGGTGGGGGCCCTAAATAACAATGGGGGGAATCTACTGTCCTCCCCCCTGGCCCCCACACCTACGCGGTGGGTGGGGGCCCTAAAGAAAAAAGGGGGGGGACCTTCTGTCCTCCCCCCTGGCCCCCACCCCTGCGTGGTGGGTGGGGTCCTAAATACAAATTAGGGGGGGTGACCTAATGTCCTCCCCCCTGGCACCCACCGGTGAGTGGTGGGTGGGGGCCCTAAATAAAAATTGTGGGGGGACCTATTGTCCTCCCCCCTGGCCCCCACCCCTGAGTGGTGGGTGGGGGCCCAAAATAACAATGGGGGGAACCTACTGTCCTCCCCCCCGCCCCCACACCTGCGCGGTGGGTGGGGGCCCTAAATACCAATTGGGGGGGACCTATTGTCCTCCCTCCTGGCCCCCACCCCTGTGCGGTGGGTGGGGGCCCTAAATAAAAATTTAACCCCCATCACCCCCCTCCCCCATTTCATACATGACATTTGGCGGTACTAACCAATACATTGTGAAATACATTATTGACTTCCTCAATAGACTTTCACATGTTGTTGCTTTTATAACAGGTGTGTCTAAAATAAGTGAAACACAGTTAAACAAAGAATGAGCTACAAGGAAGTTGATGTTTTATAAGAGTATTTGCTTTCCTGCCTTAAAACATGACCCAAAGCAAATTTAACACTTTGATCATTCCATCAGTGCTTATAATAGGAAAGACATTTATTAAAGGGACACTGTAATCACTATAACCACTTTGTCTTTTTGAATTGGTTATAGTGCCTGGAGTGGCCTGGCACTGTCCCTCCATTCAGTGTTGCTCCATGTTTGTGCAGTATGCCACAAAATAAGAGTCCCTGGCCACCCACAGTCCAGCCCCTTCTGTATGTGTAGCTAAAGCAGAGATTACACACTTGTTGTCATACCCATTCATACCGTCAGTTGGAGCTCTGACAGGTTAAAAGCAGTCAGCTGACACTCTCAGCCAATCACAGCTGCCCATTGTCTCTCAGGGTAATACTTCCTTATTAGCCAAAGCAGCACAGAGTGGATAGACTGCTGTGGACTCTTGTTTAGCATTAAAACATTACAACATTAAAAACTGTTTAATGCTGAAAGAAATGATGGTACCAGGGGACTCCAGACACTATAACCAGTTTAATGAGATGAAGCAGATACAGTGCCTATGGTGTCCCTTTAATGTTTATTTTTGGTACCTCTATTTTTAGACCGATATCCGTGGCGCACCTTAAATATGAGAACAAATCAAATTTGTTCTAAATATGGTTTCAACACCTTGGTTCCCCTCCATATGGCTTCTAACATTCCAATTTGAAAGTTGCAGTGCCAATGTATCTTGGAGGCAGATCTATCTTTTCTCCAGTTCTGGGTATTATCAAAGACCTAATTTTATAACAGTGTTTTTTTTGTCAGTCTATATTTAACTAATTATAGTGAAAAATTCCAGCAACAAACATTCCAGCAACAGTTACATCTCACAATTATATGTGTTTAATTGTATGGAGCTAAGAGAATTTAGCGAGAGGGGAAAGCCCAGGTAATCTCCTTGGACTGGAATGGTGAAGGTAGGACCCTTCATGTCTATTCAACCTGGCACTGCTATGCAAAATACAAAGTTAGACCAAATAATCACTAGCTGGTGCACCTATATCTATCATTCTGCAAATACGGGGAACCCATCAGTCCGTATAACAAATTGCATCCACAAGCCATGATGTACAGTGTCGGCCTGTTTCATGAATCTCTACAGGGAGAGCTAACCATTACATAATAATATAGTTGACATGGGGGTAAAAGAATGGAAGTATTTTTTATTTTTTTAGGTTTATTTTTAATATTTGTAGCAATTTTTTCAAGTCTTTTTTCTGTTTTTTTTTTTTTCTGTTGTGCTTTAAGGCACATCACGTACAGGAAGTGTGAATTTAATTTGTTTATTTAACTTTGTCCTTTTACATCAACTGTCTCAAACAACTGTATTTTTCAGTACACTATGTGCATTATTGCGCCATTTAGTTCACAGATCAAGTGTGAAAGAGTAACCAATAAAGGGGAAAAAGCAGGAGCAGTTAAAAAAAAAACCATCTAGATTTGTATATTTATATATATATATTATTTTTTTAACTGCTCCTCTTTTTCCCCCTCTGTTGGTCACTTCTAACTTTATCTCTGAATAAAATCAAGGTTTAATCCCCTAATCATGAATCATTTTTTTCCGTCAATCATCTTTTTTTTGGACAAAATATGGACATATCGCTATTTGTTTTAAACCAAATGCACAATCTTTAGTGTACATTCATTTTTACAGAGATCCTTCTTTTTTCGTAAAGATAAAATACTGCTCACATTTATTTCTAGAATCATGACTGTAGTGCTAGGGATAAATCTTTATATTCCTAACACTATAGTGTTCCTCTGATAATATGTTCAAAAAGAAACAAGTATCTGTAGCACATCCTGCAACTTAGTACTAGTTATCTATACAATTATCTCAGCTTGATACTGGTCTGCAAGGACTTTCTATACTGTAACCCAGTGGTTCCCAAACTTTTTAGATTCAAGGCACCCTTACAATTTCAATATTTTTCCAAGGCGCCCCAAGTTAAAACAATTTTCTTGTTGTATATATCTACATCGCTGCGGCATATACTGGGCCCCTGTTCGGGAGAAATGCTTTCCGTTCAAGCGCAGATCCAGGACCTAATCTTGAGCGGGGCACTGGTAGATTAATTAAAAAAACAATTCGGACACAATAACCACTACAGCACTTTGTAGTGGTTATGGTGCCATTAGTGCCATACTGCCCTCGCAGAGTAAATAGTCAAACAGTTTAAGAGCAGTTTGACAACTTACCTGGGATCTGCCGAGATAGGGGCTGTAGCAGGGGATAGGGTGAGTAGTGTGTCTGAGGTGTGCAATGAGTGTGTGTGTGAGTGGTGGAGTGTGTATGTGAGGGGCACTGGTGGCTCTAGACTAGGCGAAACTCAAAAAATAGGTGTTTCGTTGTGTGTATAAGAGTGAGCTACAAGGAAGTTGATGTTTTATAAGAGTATTTGCTTCCCTGCCTTAAAACATTGACCCAAAGCAAATTTAACACTTTGATCATTCCATCAGTGCTTATAAAAGGAAAGATATTTTTCAATGTTTATTTTTGGTACCTCTAATTTTAGACCGATATCCGTGGTGCACCTTAAATCTGAGAACAAATCAAATTTGTTCTAAATATGGTTTCAGCGTGTTGCTTCCCCTCCATATGGCTTCTAACATTCCAATTTGAAAGTTGCAGTGCCAACGTATCCAATTTGAAAGTTGCAGTGCCATCGCTGTATCCAGCCCTGTAGCTGTATTGGACAAGCTTGCAGCGCTGGATACAGAGAGCTAGTCTCTTTATTCATTGTTCAGAGGCTTGCAGTGTCGCGGCTCTCTGTGCCTCTGTGTTGTGAGCTCTCCGACTGTAGTAATGGCATAATTAGCAAACTAAATTAATTTGCAATAAGCAAATGTAATTAGCAATTCTGCTAATAATCTATACACGACTCCGGGGTATGATTGCATAGCCTTGCAGTCGTGTATACATTACTGCCAGTGTGTGTATTTCTGAGTGTGTGGAGGGGCAGTAACAGGAGGTAGGGGGATGGAGGGGTAGTAACAGGAGGTAGGGAGGTGGAGGGGCAGTAACAGAGGGTAGGGGGTAGTAACAGGGGTGGGGTGGAGGGGGCACAGGGGGGGGGCTGGAGGGGCAACAAAGGGGTGGTGGGGTGGAGGGGCAGTCACAGGGTGTTGGGGTGGGCGGCAGTGACGGGTGTACGGGGGTAGTAACAGGGTTTAGGGGATGGGGTGGAGGGGAAGTATCAGGGGGTGGAGGGGCAGTAACAGGGGGTGGAGGAGGTTGGAGGGGCTATGACAGGGGGGAGTTCATAAAAACCTGCGGTCCTGTGGATTCCCCTGGTGATCCGGTGGGCACCCGCTTTCTGGCTCTCTGGTCTGCATCTCCGCCAGGTAAATCTCGCAAGCTCCAGTCAGAGCATTGCCATGGTAACCTGCTGCAACACTCTGACAGGCAGGAGATCGTGAGACACTTCAGTCTGCAGCTCACTCCCGGCGGAGCTGCAGACAGGAGGCTGGCTCTCTCCCGAGCAGACTGACTGGAGAGGCCTCGCACCTGGCGGCATTATGGGCAAGCCGCCGGGCCCCCTCCTGTTTCGAGTCCTCGGTCTCTGACTGAGGACCTGACATGGTAGTCTGCCCTAAGGCAATTTTGGGGGTCGCGGTGCCCCCATCAGCGCGAGGCCTTAGGAGGCCCCCTAAAGTGTGTGTGTGAGGGGTGCAGTGTGTGAGGGGTGCAGTGTGTGTTTGTGTGAGTGTATGGAAGTGCATTGTGTTTGTGAATGAAGTAGTGTGTGTGTGAAGGATGCAGTATGTGTGTGAAGGGGGAAGTTTGTACGTGATGGGGCAGGTTGTATGAGGGGTACAGTGTCTGTGTAAGGGATACAGTGTGTGTGTGGGAAGGCAGTGTGTGAGAGGTACTGTTTGTGTGTATGGGGGGCAGTGTGTGTATAGGGGGTAATTGTGTTTATAGGGGAAGTTATTGTGGGTCTGTGGGGGTACGAGGGCAGATAAATATATACTTTTATTTCTTTTTGTTTTATTAAAAAAATAATATTATTATTTTCCTATACCCCCACCCTGCTTACCTTAGCCTGGGAGAGGGGGGCAGTACAAGGAAACCACTGGTGGTCTGGTGGAGAAGCCCTGGTGGTCCAAGTGGTGAGATCGAACTACAGCAGCCTCAGGAGCTGCTAGAGTTCACTTTTTGCGAGATTCGGAGCATTGCCATGGTACCACGGCAACGCTCCCAGCTCGTGAGAGGAGAACCCGGCGGAGAAGCAGTTTAGAGCACCCCCGGGTTCTCTCTCATTACAGTGCTAGTGGGCCGTGAGGGATCTGGAGAGCCAGAAGGGGAGAGGGAAGCGTCATCATATCGGTGCTATCATCATATCATATCTCGCGGCTACCCATTTTGGAAACCGCTGCTCTAACATTTTCTGTTTTTAAATGGTGAAAATGTGTACAGATACATAGCTTAAAAACAAAAGAAAATGCCCAATAATATGCTGCTGGGGAGGATATATATAATCATTAATGCTTTAAAAGCAGAAGCTAATCTCAAGTAGATGTGCAAAGAAATCTTTGAAAAACAAGAGGCCTATTTGTCAAGCTTAGAACAATGAGCGGATAATTAAGCTATATTATGTTATGCCATTTGCCTTCGCAATGCGTGGGCATGGGGAATATTCAAATCAGAAACAATTAATCTGTTGTTGATAAAGTTATACAGACTGATGGAAATTTATGCCGTTAGTGGACTTTATTTTTGTCTGAACTTATCAGAATGGCAGCTAAGGTCATGCTGTGTCTAGGACTATAAACCGCTAAAGCTAAGATAAGCTATGGGGCAAGTAATGGAAACCAGTGTCCTTTAAACATAACTCAACAAGAGACCAGGATTTGAGAATATGCTTAACCAGTGCACAGATATTTCAATTAATATGATCAGCCACTGATTGTTGCTAAAGCAGCAGAGGTTCCCTGTAATTCTGGTTTTCAGGTGGTTTATACATTATGCTAACAGAAATGCTAGAAAACATATAGAATTATATTAAAAGCAGCACTGTCACTCCCTCCCTTCCCCGGCCGCCCACTTCAATACTCATACTGACTGTGTTGACATTTTACTGAAATTCCAACCCAGTCAAAAGAGATTTTGAGACAAAGTAGGGACTACAGTGCTGCTTTAAAGCTCTTTTGTGTTTGGGCCCCTCTCTACCGGTCAGCCAAATCCTCAACATAAGACCTGATGTGCCCCGTGTGTGTAATAAAGAGCGGGAGCAGGAGAACCCTCTCTAAAGCGGTGCTCTGCTTCCTGTTACTGTGTTACCCATTCTTTTAATTGTATTATGTAGATAGCAAATTAAAATATATGTGCCAAAGCAATAATAATAATCATAAAAAATAAACTGCTGTGGTGGTTATGTTCCCAGGAGTGCCCTGGCCCCATCTCAGTGTAATTTGGCAAACCTTTTTAGAACTTACCTGGATCCCCCAAGAGCCCATGGCCACTTATCCTACTATCAGTGGTGTATCCTGGTTTTGTGCTGCCCTAGGCAGGACAAAACTCAGACGCCCCCCTCCCCCCGCGCCACCCCCACCCAACCGTTCCCCCCCGCCCCACCTTCTAAATACACACACACACAGTCAGACACACAAACACACAGTCAGACACACACACACAGTCATACACAAACACACACACAGTCAGACACAAACACACACACACAGTCAGACACATACACACACACACACAGTCAGACACATACACAGACACAAACACACACACACAGTCACAAACACACACAGTCAGACACAAACACACACAGTCAGACACAAACACACACACACAGTCAGACACAAACACACACACTGTCAGACATATACACAGACACAAACACAATCAGACACAAACACACACACACAGTCACAAACACACACACAGTCAGACACAAACACACACAGTCAGACACACACACACAAACACACACACACAGTCAGACACAAACACACACACACACAGTCAGACACAAACACACACACACAGTCAGACACAAACACACACACAATCACTCACATTAACTTTTTTTTAAATCCCCCCCCCCAGCCTCCTTACCTTTGGGAGTGCTGAGGGGGGAGGGGGGTCTCTCTCTCCCTGGTGGTCCAGTTGCTGCCGGTCGGGCTGGGCGGCGCTGGCTGCTGTGCAGGCGGCTGGCGAGGGAGCTCTTCCCCTGAGCTGACTGCTCAGCTCCCTCACTCTGCGGCGCGCGAGGGAGCTGAGCAGTCAGCTCAGAGGAAGTGCTTCCTCGCCAGCCGCCCGCTTGGGATGTCTGTTAGCCGCAAGGCTAACAAGACATTTGCCCTGGGCATTTGGGGGCGGCGTTTTTTGCCGCCCCCTGAAAAATGCCGCCCAAGGCAAATGCCTTGTTTGCCTCACAGCTAATACATCCCTGCCTACTATGGAATTTCCTGAAGGAGAATGTGGTTAGCTCTACTGTGCTAAGCAGGGCCATGTATTATCTGTGTTCATTGTCTGGGACTCTCAGCTGAGTACTCCAGTCACCCAGTGAGCACAGTCCTGTATCACCTGTGCTTAGTTGTTGAGAGACATAGCACTTCTTTTGCAGGAGAAGACCAGATGTTGTGTTGGCAACTAAGGGACCAAGTAAATTGTTGAGCCATTCAAAAATGGTTTGAGAAATTACACTGGGACAGCAACAGCTTCAGGTCACTTCGGGTACCATAATCACTACAGTAGTTCTTCTGGAGCAAAAATAAAAAAGGAGGCATTGCAGATGGATGGAATAGGCAAAAAGCTTTTCTATTTCAGGACATTAAGTTCATTGAGTTTGGTCTTCCTTTCCCCCTAATATTTGCTTGGATTTATTAATTTTGGATAAGCATTTCAAATGATTACAATCTGTTAGAAAAAAAAAACTTAAACAAAAAAAAAAAACTATACATATTCCCATAGACTTTAATGTAAAGAATTTTAAATGTAGATAATTTGAAAACATTTTCTAACAGATTGTGATCATTTGAAAAATCTTAATGTTAAACCGGGGGCATTTTTTTTTTTTTTTATAATTGTTGCAGAGTAATGGCTGCACCTGTTTTATTGGATCACTTTGTTACATACTCTGATGATGGTGTGGGGCAAATTATCCCTCTGAAATAATGACTGACCAGTTTTTAAATGCATCTATTTTTTTTTTTATGCATACGGTTTAATGTGCACATCTGCATTCATGTATTTATGTTAGAAGTTATTTGCAAAAATATTTCATTGATACCATAATTCTTTGTATACTTGACAAGACAACAGTCTGCTCGCTTGGATGTTGACTTACAAAACATACAGAATTTACTATATCGCTTTTCATATCACTTTTTGTGCACATAATGATGACATGCACCTGTGCTTTCTTAATCTGTAGAACACCCTTAGAGAAACATTTTTTTCCATGTACGTCTACATCACACTTTTTACTGTGACACGTTAGAATATTTTTTTTGTCTTCCTTCCTCATTGTAACGCTCATCAGTTAAAGTCCTCCCATTTCTATTCATTGCTGGGTCACAGTTGCAGCAGCAACAACACAGTACTTCCTTACAGCATTCTGGGACATGGAGCAAGCTATATTTCGAAAGCGATCCCAGCAGGGTTCCGAGGATTCCAACTACCCTGAGGTGTTTTGGAGTTCAGAGCCTGGATATGTAAGTCTGTCTCAAAGAATGACATACCTTTAACTTACTTCCTATGCAGATTGCTGTGTGAACAAACCTAACGTGTGGTTTGTCTAAAATGTCACTTTAACCACCAGTTGTCACAGATATCTCTGTTCAGGATGTGGAATAAACACAAGGGGTCTACGTGAATAGCATCATTTATCTTTGTGCCTTCTTCACCTGCATGCTAGCTCCCCACCTACAAGTACATACTATATTTACACGACATTATTTGCATGTTTTCTTATCTCACAGCCTTTGTGCTCGAGTGTCATACGTTGCTCTGACTCTGGTAATAAAAAAAACAACTTTCTTAGCTTTAATTACTTGCATGCAAACTATCCTTTGTTTTTGTGTAAAGTATTCGCGTAATGCAATGGGAACCTTAAAAGTGGCAGTTTTTGACAATTCGTTTCTACTTTTTCATCACTCTCATTTGTACCCGTGGACTGACTGAATCTAGAACAGATTGATGATACTTTTTATATATCACTTTTCGTTCACACAGTCTCAGAGACAGAGTCTCAGATTTTAACTAGATCTGCAGCTAATTAACAAATGTTACTAACAGTCACAGAATATGGTAGAACGCAAAATCTTATAATTTCATGGGTCAGTGTATATACATAGATATCATTGTAATAATAATCAGGGAAACAATTACAGGTACTATAGGAGTAGCAAGCACAATATTGCTAATGCCACCTGAAATACTAGTGTAAATCCAAGTATTTCAGGTGATGTTAGCCATTTTGATTTAGCCATTTCTATAGTTCTATATGCCTGTATTCTTATTAATGTTTAAATTAAAGTAGGTGCGCATAATATGTGCTTTGAGGCTTAATATACTCAAAGCACCAAAATCATTATAACACACTGTAGAGGTTATGGTTCCAGGAGTCCCCTGGCAACAGTATTCAAATGTTCTCCCTGACACTCACCCGAGTCGCCTATGGTCCTTCCATACATCTTTGATTTCACTAAAGCTGCAGTTTCCATTCTGCTTTAGCAGTATGTAATTTGTCCCTATTTGGCAATCTTGCCAAAATGTATGGACTCACAGAATGGAATCACAAAAGACTAGAAGGATGACTGGTACCCAGGGGAGCAAGGTAAATATTAAACTGTTTGAAAACAGTTTGACTTCTTACTCTGGGCCTGCTCCAGGAACTACTGGTACCATAATCACGACAGAACACTGTAATTACTTAGAATGCAGCTTTAAACATGTGTTACAGACACCTAAAAGATGGTTATTTATGCACTCTTTTGTTTTCATCGTTTATATATGTAACTAGTGTGAGGACATGTACAGCCTGCAACAGAAAGTTATAATTTCCCTTCTCCGAGACCTTATATATATATATATATATAAAATATATATATAATATTATGTTGAGCCTGTCTGAATTGTTCCCTGTGACCATGAGGTTTGAATGGGATATACAGTTAGTGCATCTAACTCACTGGTTTAAGATATGGATCATGACAGTTCATTTGTGAATCATTTCAGATAAAGTCAGAATGTTCTAACTACAAAACATTAAGGATAATTCGTATTCGGGAAATGTCTATTCCTGGTATGAAATGTGCTAGATTAGTGCATTAACCTGTAAAGCATTTTTTTCACTGGTGATAATAGATGATGATGATAGATAGATAGTCAGACAGATAGACACATACATAAATACATACACATAGATATGGTTTGTTTGTCTTTCGTCCTGTAAGCAGTGATGGATGTCCATATTTTAAGGCACGGAAACAAAAAACTCTTGTAGAACAGCAAGTTCTTTGTAGCTCACTCATAGTTGAACAAATGTTTCACTTATTTTAGACACAACTTGTGGGAGCTTATTAAGGCATTCAGTAATGTAATTCATATCATTTTGGTTAGCATTGCTAAATGTCATCTGTAGAGTCTGCAAAGTTTAGTGTAAAAGATGTACAGGTTTTTCATTCTGGTTAATTAACCTCTATTCTGGTTAAACCAGTTGTGTTTCCCGAGTATTCTATAGACCTTTGTCAGATTATCTCAGTGTTTTAACCTCTGGTCACAGCTTGATATGCTATGCATGACCTTCGCTTACTGGATTCTTCAATAATTTCATCAAGAGAGGCTGGATGAGAGCATGAAAACCTAAATAACACGAACTAATCTGGAGAAGGCAATGACATCAAATTAGCATATATTACTATATGAAACAACATATTAAAATGTAATTATCCACGGCTGTTTTTCCTTTTACCCTGGGAATTGTCTTGCTCACACAGGTCCCCCTATCATAGAGTCTTTACATTTCTTGAAAGAATTAAAAACATCTTATAAAAAACATGCTATTGTTCCTTTAAGATTTTTTATTAATACTTTTTTGTTATCTGTTTATGGGATACAATTGACTCATAATATGCATCTGTGTGTACCATAATAATTCAGGTTTAAACCATTGACTTCTTTGGAAGTATGACAATGTATTACTCTGTTAAATGCAGTGCTTTCTAATATAATATTGTCTCTTTAAAAATCTTGAACTCCAGATATTCCACTATCACCATAAGGAACCAGTAGTTGACTTTTATTCAACTCAAAATAAATGCTGAGTATTAATGTTTTCTGATTAGACACCTTAATCATGGATGGTGTTGACATGTAAACCATTACATTTATGGATAAATTTTTTTCTTGACCATGTCTTTAAACCCTTAAGGACACATGACATGTGTGACATGTCATGATTCCCCTTTTTCCAGAAGTTTGGTTCTTAAGGGGTTAAAGGGGTTAAAGACGCTGGGATAACACTTGGGATTTGACTGCTTAGTCTAAATTAGACTCAGATATTGGAACACCTGCTTGTGAAAGTTCACTTTGTAATTGAATGCTAATTTATTGGCTGCTCATTACATGTGTGCTTCATCTTGCATACTTAATAGATTCTAAACTTTGAAAATGTTACTTTAATTATAATTGATAATTCTGTTTTCTTTTAGTTAAGATCATGAGATATACTGTCATGTTAAGTTTTGTTTATTTATACATTTTGGAATTGTAATAATTTGAAAAACATAGTAGCCTGTTTGGATAAATTGTCAAAGAGGAGAATATTTATTTCCCTGTCTTAAATGTGATATTGCTAACCTCCATGCTTGTATTACCTTGTAAGCTACAACACCATGTTCCTTCTCATTAACAATCTATAGCCACTCTGATGCAGCCTGCTATTTAATAGTCTTATTAGTGCAGATAAATAGCATCGTATCTGTATGTACATACCCCAAAACCCTCTCTGGTTACCCTGATTAGGTCTCTAACATGTGTCCCATTCCCTCCAGACCCTCCATGTTTCCCTTTCTATCCCCCACAGTGGCTTCATGTGTCCCATTCTATCCCACCCAGCCCCTTCATGTGTTCCATTCTATTCCCTTTCCACTGCTGCGGTGCCACCGATCAGACAGGAAGTGCTCTTTTAGTGAGCACTTCCTGTAAGACCACTCGCTACATGCAGGGCAAGAGGGGTGCAGCAAATCCCTTTGCTTCCTTCCGGCCCTAAAGGTTTGCAGGCGGTCATGGTCACAGCGGCATCCTGGCCTCCTAGAGTGATGGGCCCAATCCCTGCTGCGGCCCCTGTGACTTTGGTAGTTACGCCACTGGTGGTGTGTACTTTTGCTTTACTTGTTTGTCTATTACAAAAAGTGCAGTACTTCTTTACCTGTTCCCTATTTATGTCTTTCTCACATCCCTGCAAGGGTTGAGCACTGCTAATGCCTCTGCGTAGGCGAAAAAAAACAAAAAAAAAACTAGTTACATAAAAACCCCACCTGCCTAATATCATGTCACCCTCGCCCTGCAAAAACAGCTCTGATGCTTTGAGGCATGGACTCCAGAAGATCTCGTAATGTGTCCTGTGGTATATGGCACCAAGAGATTAGCAGCAAACCCTTTAAGTCCTACAAGTTGTGAGGTGGGGCCTCCATGCATCGGACTTGTTGTTCCAGGACATCCCACAGATGCTCAATCAGATTGAGATCAGTTGAATTTGGAGGCCAAGGCAACATATTGTCATATACCTCAAATTATTCCTGAACAAGCTTTGCAGTGTGGTATGCTGCATTATGCTGCTGAAAGAGGACACTTCCATTAGGGAACATCATTGCCACAGCGCTACGGAATTTGATGGCGCTATATAAATAATAAAATAATAATAATAATAATATAGGGGTTACATGGGCTGCAAAATCTCTAGGTATGGGGTACATGTCAAACTGACATCCACATGAATGGCAGGACCCAAGTTTTCCCAGCAGAACACAGCACAACACTGACTCTAATTGCTTCCTATAGTGCATCCTGCTGCTATCTGTTCCCCAGGTAAACTATGCACACACACCCAACCATATCCCTGATCAAAAAGAAAATGTGATTCATAAGACCAGACAACTTTCTTCCATTGCTCAATGGTTCAGTTCTGATACTCACATCCCCATTGATGGCGTATTCAATGGTGGACTGGGGTCATCATGGACAGTCTGACTGGTTTGCGGCTAGAGATCCCCATACACAGCTATTGCTATTCACTGTGTGTTCTGACACCTTTCTATAATGGACAGCATTACGTTTTCATCAGTTTGAGCTACAGTAGCTCTTCTGTGTGATCAGACCTGACAGGCTTGCTTTCACTCCTCAAGTGCATCAAGGAGCATTGAGAGACTACGACCCTAGTGCTAGTTTACTGGTTGTCCTTCCTTGCACCATTTGATATTTACTAACTACTGTATACCGAGAACATCCCAAAATACATGCTGTTTTGGAGATGCTCTGTCCCAGTTGTCTAGCCATCACTGTTTGTATGTGTCAAAGTCACTCAGACCTTTCTGCTTTCCCATTTGTCCTGCTTCCAACTCATGAAATTCAAGAACTGACTGTTCACTTGATGCCTTTTTTATTATTATTATTTTATTATTTATATAGCGCCAACAAATTCAGTACCGCTGTACAATGGGTGGACTAACAGAAACGTAATTGTAACCAGACTAATGGACGAACAGGAACAGAGGGGTTGAGGGCCCTGCTCAATGAGCTTACATGCTAGAGGGAGTGGGATATAGTGACACAAAGGGTATAAGTAGGGGTAATGAAATAGGTTGCTCGAAAAGTAATCACTGAGAACTTAGTAGGTTATTTTGACAGTTGCAGGAGAGTAGTCATGGGAGGAGGAGGGGGGAATGAAAACCCGCTAACAGTTTAAATGATATGCTTTACTAAAGAAGTGTGTTTTCAAAGATTTTTTGAAGGAGTGGAGACTGGGTGAAAGTCTAACGGAGAAGGGAAGGGTGTTCCATGGAAAAGGTGCAGCCATTGAGAGGTCTTGGAGGCGAGCAATAGATGTATAGACAGAGGATAGGCGTAGGTCTTCGGCAGAGCGCAGGGGCCTTGACGGGACATATTTGTGTATTAGGGAGAATAGGTAGGTTGGAGCAGCATTATGTAGGGACTTGTAAGCAAGCACCAGAATCTTAAATTGAGCGCTATATCTAACTGGAAGCTAATGTAGGGACTGACAGAGGGGGGAGGAGTGGGAGGTGCGGCGGACAGGAAAATGAGCCTTGCCGCCAAATTCATTATAGATTGCAGCAGTGCAATCTCGGAACACGTAAGACCACTGAGAAGGGGATTGCAGTAGTCAAGGCGAGAAAGAATGCTTTATGAATGCTATTTTATTTTATTCCTCCAGCGTAGTCATCTATCTTCACATAATAGTTAGTTTACAAAATGCATATCCAGCTGAAAACATGTTTCAATTTAATTAGAAATTAGAAACAACATTATGATTGGAGGTAGAGTTATTATAAACACCTTATAAGCAGGCAGTTGTAGTAGAGATAACAAGAAAAGAGTTGGAGTAGAGCGTCTTACAATGTGGCTGTTTTGGTCAAAGGGTTTGCAACCCACCACAACTCCCTGTTCAATGAATAAACTCCCAGTATTTTAAGTATGCAAATCATCAGAATATAGAGCATCTTATGTGCTACATAAATGCAAAGATAAAGACATAAACTACTGGATGTTATGTGGATTTATTACATAATTTTCATGTGCCACACATACATGACATAAAAGAAAACAGTCATTGGAATCACAATTACGAGAGTAGAGTCAGATCCCTGTTTCACTTTTAAGAATCGTCTTAGACACTTACTTGTAAGAATAAAACAAGGTATGAGCTATAGGGTTGCTTGTAGTCTATTTTCATTATACTGAATTGTATTTTAGTACAAAATCTATCTAATTTAACTGATTGTAGATTAGCGCTGTTGCTGCCCCTCTTCTACATGAACACATCCATCCCCGATTGTCCTTGTTTGCAAATCAAGTTTCCTTCTTAAAGTGTTCATACAACCCTGACACCACAAACCTACTCAACATACAAACTTTATATAATAATAATAATAAAAGCAGCAAGATTGATCACTTCTGTAGACTCAATGATGATGATGATTCTAAAGTTATTTTGTAAGTTTTTGTAATCAGTAGGTTAAATTGTAATGTGACAAAAGGAAATTAGAACTTTTAGAATAAATGTGAAGTAGGACTTTGTGGTCATTTTGTATGGCCAAGCCTGTGTTACTTTTCTAGAAATATCAATTTTGGTTTGTTGACTTAGTTTCTATATCTCATTGTCTCTTAGATATGTGACTCTTCAGAGGAGCAAAGTCCCTTTTCCTTGAGCAGCTCATCATCTTGTAGCAGCTTATTCAATCCAATCAGCGATGAGACAATACAGGATCCTGATCTTCCACTGCAGAAACTCAATTATACCAAGTCTATGATCTTGTCTCATTCCCGTGGACCAAGGGTAAATCACTACAGCTATCAATCTAATTTGAGATATCCATGAGTCCATACGCTATAACGGTGATGGGCAACCACAACTTTCCAGCTGTTTAACTACAGCTTCTATTACACCCAGCCATTCATATATTGGACGTTGGTAATTGTAGATTTAGTCCCACTGAAGTACTCCAGTTGCTTACCTCTGTTATGAAGTTTTGTAGTCGAATTATGGAAATTTGGAAACACTGTTTCTTTTGTAGTTTTTCACATAATTAAGAATGCCAGGTGACAAATACAGTATTAAGTATTCATTTGTGATTCATTTGTCTTTTCATTGACCATTTTATTTATGTATGTGTTATAAATTAAATGTAGATTCATTCTTCATTGTAGTCAACCAAATGCCCAACTTTTACTCCAAGTCTGTAAGGAGGGGGTATGGGAACTTATTTGAGAACTGCTAATATGAAAAGTAATCCCCTTTTGGAGGGATTTATGTTGGAATTCATTGATATTTAATTATTTTTGAATGATTCTTTAATGACTGAAAAAATGTACAGATTTGCTTTTATTGCAGAAAAAGTAGACACACACTAATGACCTGGAATTTGCATTGTGCAGACTTTTTGAGTGATTCACAAGAGTAGTCCATATTTTTTCTGAAGTACTTGGGGTTTTCCAGCCATAGAGTTTACTTATTAAATCATGGTGGGTGCTGTGTTTATGACAGACCTACAAAATTAAGGCCAAAAATAGCAGAGCTGAAAATATAAAATATAAACCCTAACGTCTGAGTCTGAGTTTGACAAAAATTTGAATCAACTCCCTGTCTATTGAATAAACCCAATATTTATCACAATGGTCTTGTGGAATAGATACATTTGGTAAAATTGCTTCTAAAAGGGACACTATAGTCACCAGAACCACTATAGATTAAGGAAGGACACACCCTCTGTTCTACCACCATCTTACAGTCACTGAGAGCTTTGGTAGGGGATGTAGTTTGTGTTTGTAAGGGATGTAATGTGTGTTTAGGGAATGTAGTGTATGTGTATAGGTAATGCAATGCTTGTAGGGCATGTAGTTTGTATACTGGATGCAGTCAGTGGTGTATTTTGAATATGTGCTGCCCTAGGCATGACTGAACTCAGGTACCCCCTAATTTAAATTTCCCCACCCCTTTCGGTCAAGGCCACACCCCTTCCTTTTAAAGACTAACACATGCTTTGACTGACATACACACAGACACACCCACTCTCTGACCGGCACACACTCTCAGATGCACTGACATACACTCACTGGCAGACACACATCCTCACACACTCACTGATTTGACACAATCTGGCAGACACACATAATTACTGATTTGACACAATTCGACAGACACACACAGTCACTCAGACATGCACTGACACACGCAATGAAAGACACGCACACAATCACTGACAGACAATCATTCACTGACAGGCACACACTGATAGACATACACACACATTCTCTGACAGACACACACATTGACAGACACACACACATTCACTGACAGACACACACAAACTCACTCACAAAAACACACACACTATCTCACAGAAACACATTCACTGACAAAAAAACTCACTGACAGACACACTCACAGATATAAACACACATCCACTGACAGACAGACACAAACACAATCTGACACACACACTGACAAACAAACACACACTGACATACAAACACACTCAGACACACACAAACTGAGAGACAGACATACACACACACACACACACACACACACAGAAACTAACATACACACACACACACACATTTATTAACATACAAACAAACTCACTGACAGATACACTCACTCAGACACACTGACAGATATAACAACACATTTACTGACAGACAAACACACACACACTGACAGACTGACACACACTGACACACACACACACATACACATACACACACACACAGACTGACATACTGAGAGACTGACACACACATTTCCCCCCAACATTTACAAATAATTATTTACTTTTATTTTAGTTTAAATCCACCCAGATTTTTACCTGGGGTGCAGTGAGGCAGCTGGGCTGGCCGCTGGGCAGGCAGGCATACAGGATGAAGGTCAGACACACTGACTGATATAACAACACATTTACTGACAGACAAACACACACACACTGACAGACTGACACACACTGACACAAACACACACACACACACACACACACACACACAGACTGACATACTGAGAGACTGACACACACATTTCCCACCAACATTTACAAATAATTATTTACTTTTATTTTAATTTAAATCCACCCAGATTTTTACCTGGGATGCAGTGAGGCAGCTGGGCTGGCCGCTGGGCAGGCAGGCATACAGGATGAAGGTCAGACAGGTGTGGAGGATGGAGGGCGGGCAGGCAAGAGGGGTAGTGGGTGCGCAAAATAGGCAGTTGGGAGCTTTGATCATCCTGTTCAGCTACCTTGCACGCTGCTTAGTGAGGCCGGATGCCAGAGTGACGTTACATTCAGGCTCCCAGCATCACTGCAGGTCTTGCCTGTTAAATAAACTGTCCAGGCGCCCTGGGGGGCTCAAGGGTGGCCAGCCGGCCAACTCTTGGGCCCCCCACACGTCAAGGCAAACAAGATATTTGCCAGGGCACTTGGGGGGCGACGTTTTTTGCCACTCCCTGGAAAGTGCCGCCCAAGGCAAATGCCTTGTTTGCCTTGTGCTAAATATAGAGCTGCATGCAATGTGTGTATGTATAAGGGATGTGGTGTGTGTGTAAGGAATGCAGTTTGTATAGGTTATGAAGTGTGTCTGTTTGTAAGGAATGTAGTGTGTGTGTGTGTGTATAGTGGATGCAGTATACATATTGTAAGCTTGTTTGGGCAGGGCCCTCTTCACCCAGTTTTCCTGTATGTTATAAATGTTTTGTTAGAATTGAATGTCTGTTTTGTTTCCTGTTGTACAGCACTATGGAATATGATGGCACTATATAAATAATTGTAATTTTGTGTGTAAGAGATGTGGTGTGGATGCAGCTCCTTGCCACCTCTATTGCCCACCCAGCTGCCCAGCAGCCTGCACAGCAGCCAGTCTAGCATTCTCATTGAACCCCAGAGAAAGAATCCACTCCAGCTCTCCGAAAGGTATGGAGGCTGGGTGGACTTAAATTACAATTTAAAAAAAAAAAAAAAAATTTGCTACTGTATGAAAAAAATTTATGTAAGTGTGTCTGTATCTGTGTGATTGTGTCTGTTAGTGAATGTGTGTTTGTCTGTCAGTGAATGTGTTTGTCAGTTAGTGTGTGTGTGTGTATCTGTCTGTGTGTGAATGTGTCTGTCAGTGAATGTGTGTGTCTGTCAGTGTGTGTGTGTCTGTCTGTCAGGAGTGTGTATCTGTCAGTGAGTGTGTGTGTGTGTGTGTACCTGTCAGTGAGTGTGTGTGTGTGTGTGTGTGTGTCTGTCTGTTAGTTAGTGTGTATGTCTGTCAGGAGTGTGTGTGTATGTGTTTCTGTCAGTGAATGTGTGTATGTGTGTGTCTGTCAGTTATTGTGTGTCTGTCAGTGAATGTGTGTGTGTGTGTGTGTGTGCCTGTCAGTGAATATGTGTGTGTCTGTCACTGTGTCTGTGAGTGAATGTGTGTGTCTTTCAGAGTGTCAAATCAGTGAGCATGTGTGTGTCTGTGTGTGTCAGTGTGTATCTGAGAGTGGGTGCCTGTCATTGTGTGTCTGTCTGTTAGTGAAAGTGTGTGTTGGTTAAACCCTGTGTTTTACAATGACTGTGTATCTGCCAATGAGTGTATGTCAGTGCATGTACCAGTGAAGGAGTGTGTCTGACAGTCAAAGTGCTTGTTGCTCTTAAGAAGGAATAGGTATGGACATGACAAGAAGGGGTTAGTCAAATTTAAATTAAGGGGGTGTAGATTAGGGGTGTGTGTAAGTGATACAGAATGTGTGTATGAAGGATGCAGTGTGTGTGTGTGTGTGTAAGGGGTGTAGTGTGTGTGTGTAAGGGATGTAATATGTGTGTAAGGGATGCAGTTTGTGTGTATGGAGAACACAGTGTGTTTTTGTGTGTAATGGATGCAGTGTGTGTGTATAGAAGAGGACGTGTGCGTGTGTCTGTCTGGGATAGGGTGGGATAGGAGCTGCTATCTGTGGGGAGTATCATGAGTAGGTTGTCACACCCTGATGGTGGCCCTGAGTAGCTCTGGTGTCTATAGCATGTGGGAAAGCATTGGATTGGCTAAAATCATCATGATTGATTACCTCAGTTTTGGAGGCAAGGTGGGGCCAGCAGACTGGCATAGCAGTGGATTACTCCCTTATCTATTGCCATTAACGCATGGATAAGCTGTTCATGAATGTTTGTTTATTTATATAGCTACACACAAGTGTATGCTTCACTGCAAGGCAGGTGCAGTAGATTTAAAAAACAATGCAACCAAATGTTAAACTCCACTGTAAGAGAAAATATTTTTTTTTTAAAAAGGAGTGTTGTTAAAACAGTCTTCTTTCTTTTATATCCATTTAATAACAAAAACGTATGAAAAAATACTGGCAAATAAACTGTGAAAAATTAACGAAATATGTAAAGAGGGGAAAAGAAAAAAAAAATACATAGCCCACGCCTGGTACTACTGAACGCACTTTGCGTCTGCACATGATGCTTTATCAAGAGTACCAGATGTACAGTTATGGGAGATGCAATGAGTAAACACTGAAACCAATTATTTTAACCTCTACTATCTGGACAAGAGAAGATACATGAACGCTTCTTAGTTCACATGATAATTCTGTCTTTATCAGACTCTACATCGATGCTCTTATTGAGCAGTCCTCAGATATACACTGTGTCACGATTAGCAATGTTCATCTTTTACTTAATCTTTTACAGGGCTTCCACAGGAGAAACCTTTCTCACCACGAGTTTCAAACTTACGGCAATTCAGACCCCTCTACAGACGTACCAAGGATTCCCTTAGTTACAGTCCTGGATGTACCTCATGTAGGTTTCATAAACATTTGCTAATTTGCTGTGTACAACCGCCCAACGTCCATTTAATCACAAATGATAATACATGACAGATTTTTACATCTGCTCAGAATTATTTTTAGATTGATGTAAAGGAAAATAAAAAAGAGACATACTTAAAATGGAAAATCTTAATCAACTGCTGCATTAAATAT